CTTCACCATCACTGTCGGTGTGGATTAGTGCAAAGGGGGTGGAAGGGACCGGGCTCATACGTCCCGCGCAACTGGTATTAGCTGTGGCCAAGCATCGAACTCAGCTGACTTGGTTGGGGGCCCCAGTACGCGAGCCATAGCGCCACTGCTCCCACCCAAAGGGATCTATTCTTTTTCGATTTAAAGCTTTCGTGACTGCACGGATTCATCTTCTTGGTTTTTTCGGTAAAGTCACGTAGAAGGGAAATAATAAAATAATAAAAATAAAACTTAATAAAATAATTCTCACGACGTTTCGGCCACAACGAAAGCAGCCGTCCTCAGGTGAAGAACAGGTCTGTCGGGAAGACAGCGTCTGAATGACGCTTGCGTTGTGGCCGAAACGTCGTGAGAATTATTTTATTAAGTTTTATTTTTATTATTTTATTATTTCCCTTCTACGTGACTTTACCGAAAGAACTAAGAAGAGGATTGATTCTTGCCGTAACTGTATTATTATCAACTGTGTACTCAAACAAGCAACCAGGAGAATAAACTGGATAAATAAAGTTATTTAGGTTAATTATTTTTTTTACTAAAGACGAGGTGATGGTTTTGCATGCGTCTGTTAATGGCAGCACGGACAGCCAAATGTCGAACAAACTCCGAACAAATATTAAAACGCTAAGCAGAAGAGTAAAGACACCATCTGCCCCATCGCGCATTCTGTATGAGGAAGGACTATCAGGCTATCAGACCGATTGTTTCATTCCCACTGGTGTTAAATATTGTACCAACATTACTAATGTGATGAGCCAAGAATGTCTGTGTGTCCCGCGCGTGACGTCACCTCACATCGGCCAGCCCCCCTCATTAATAATCATGAACAGGTGACGTCTTTCAAATGGACACCACCCTCCCCCCATTTATAATAATTAGCGGGTGACGTCACACCACATGGGGGGGGGGGGGCGAGGCGCCTCCTCCCCCCTCCTCGGCGTCAATTCACAACCCTCACTACAAAGGCAGAACCCTCACGTCACGCGATCTCCGTAGCGCTGTTGAGACATCAAAGTAAAAATGCCGTCATGATGAACAAGGGATTATAACCTTGACATGAAATAAGTCTGTGTCACCGCGGCCTTACAAATTGCACACGAATTGATGCAATGAATATCAAGTCACGGTTTGCTTTTCGCTTGCAAGTTTCAGATTTACTGAAATACACCCGTCCTTGGACTGGCAAAAGGCGAGTTTATTCTATTTACTAAAGGTGGGGTGGTGGGGGCTCTGCTGAGCCTACAGCGGGGTCAGGGAGTACGGAGAGAATTGGTGAGCGACTTTGCCACCTCAAAACCCCCCTGATGCTGGCTTGCTTGCTTGCTGCCCGTGTCCTTAAAGCTAATAAACAAAGAACTCTGTCGCAGGGTGAAAGACGACGCCGGTTTCGTTTTGTGTTTTGGAGCCTTCAAGAGCAAATTCCACGGCGATGAATACCGTACGGTTATTTGTTTCATGGGGCACATTCCATGTCGCCTTAATTGTCACATGATTCGGGTGCATCAGCCAAGGCTTGTATTTTTATTGGCAGACAAAGTTGCCGCCGCCATATAGAATCTTGGGCAATAGCTGTTAGCGAGCACTTATGAAGGCCGCCACGGCACGCGAGGCGGGGTGGGTGACCAGCACCACGCTAGTACTCATTTGAGGCCGAGTCGACCTAGACCCGGGAATGTTGTTATTGGCCATGTGCGGAAATCGAACTCGTGGAAACTGGGTTTGTCGCGTAGCGTGCCAACCGCTGCACTACCGCTCCATAAAGCTTTCAACAGACTCTTATGCTGTAAGCGAGCACATGTGAAGGCCGGCATGGCACACGAGCGGCTGGGTGGCCAACACCACGCCCGGTCACCTTTGTCTCCACAAGTTGCGATGTTTACACACCGCACCCGGGTACTCGTTTGAGGCCGTATCAACCTGGCGTTGGCCGTGAACGGGAATCGAACTCGGGTGGCCAGCTTCGTAGCGCGCTAACCGCTACATTTCCACACAGCAGCGGAGTGCGCTGTACCACACGAAGCACTTTGGGGTCATTGCACTGCTGGGGTCTTCACACTTGGAAAAACTACAAATGTTTTTACTGCTGTTGCAAACACTTTGGGTTTCTGGTGGTGTCTCGAAAATAATGGCACTCACGAAGGAACAGCTTGTTCTGAAATTATCTGTTGCAATAAAAATTCATCGATATTCTGCTTTGAAACTACACATAACCACTTCCTCTTTCGAACCTATTTTTTTTATTTAAGTAAACCCCAAGCTCCGCAATGATTAAACCATTTAAAGTGCAATTCTCGCTGTGAGTCACCACTTGTATATTTTTTTATACCTTACAAATTTCCATTCCACGATTCGTAGTTTCGCTGCCAGAGCATTTCTTTACTAGCATGATGATGACCGACGATGAAGGAATGGAACGGTTTGACAGCACGTCTACCGAAAGAGATGAAGCGATGAAATTAAAATGAACAATGTGAAAAACGGCTGATCCCATGATCGTGGCAGGTGGCAATGGCTTGAGGAGACCTTTACCTTACAGTGCGTTTAAGCACTCTTTATTCTGTTTGCAGTAACCTTTTTGGCAGCGTCTCGTAAAAAAGATGTTTGTGTTTGCTCTTGTTAGTTTGCACATTCCATCCCTGCCGTGTTCTGTAATTACCACCACTGCTGGCGGTCTTGGCCAGTGCTTCTCTTTGTAAAATAATTGGTGAGCTCATTGGGTCTTAACAGCTCAATTAAAAGTCTGAATCTGAGGAGTTGAGCATGCCTGATGGTGATGATGATGCGAGTCAAAGAATGGGTTACAATTGTTTTTCTGAAGTCTTTATGTTGTACATTTTATACCCCGGGTGAGCTCACGAATCAATCTATCTCTTTGGGCTCTTATCACCGTCTACTATGTATATTTTACCAGGTAAGACCCATTGAACTACTGTATATGGCTCTTTTTGAGAAGCGTCCTAGCCACAAATGACAGCTTAACAAAGTGGCTTATCATGTGGACATATATTGCACCCGTTTGGTTCTCAATCCTAATATTTTTTATATATATAAAATGTTAATAAATACATAGGGTTTGGTGAAACAAAGTAGTTGTACTTGCGTGCCCGTGCTTAATTTTCGTTGGGATGATTTACCTATTAAACTAAATCTGGCCATGTCTCGCACCCCCACAAAGGGCACCTCCGACCCCCAGGGGTTGCGTGCACCCCAGGTTATAAACCACTGCTCTCAACCCACGTTTCTGAATGTGGAGGGAAAAACGAGTGGACCCAGATAAAAATTCATACGACCACGGAGAGAGAGACATGCAAACTCCGAATATACAGCAGGCATTGTCAAGAGTCAGGATCGAACCCACGACCTCCTGCATACCAGGCGAGGTAGTTAACATCTCCAAGCCACCGTGGCGCCCTTAACAAAGTGATCAATTGATAAACACATTCACTGTGCTAAAGTGTAAGTCAGTAGATACTGTACAGTACTGTGATCCTCATGCAATTCCATAACATGACCACATTTGGAATTCATAAACTGGCTGCATATACAGCAGGCTCTCAATTCACACATTTTAAGTGATGGCGTGACATATCCCACAGATGCACCTGCCAAGTGATGCACATTTCACACAGTGTTGAACGCATGTCTGTGACAATTCATTCAAAAGAGATTTCATGAACTCTTACAAATCCAGTGCGGTTTTGTCTCAATTTGACAGCCTCGTTTAATGTTAATAATCTATCCTGCCTCATTTGCAGTTCCGTGTGCTCTGTTAGCATAAATATGTCAACATTATAATTTGCTTGTGAATCAAAAAAATGCATGCATAATAAGTGTAATCCGATGCATATTACCATCTATAATCACCAAGAAATGTCTGTCCGTCCCGCGCGTGACGTCACTCCGCATGAGGCCCACCCCCCCCGCGTGACGTCACTCCACATGAGGCCCACCCCCTCTCATTAATATTCATGAGTGGGTGGATTTTTACCTTCTAGAGCGGAATTAAATAATTAATTTCGCAAAGTCGCTTCAAATATGACGTTTCTTTACAGAGAGTGACGGTAAAAAATTAATCTACGCAGCAGTGCTACATCCGTGCGTGACGTCACTGCAAAAGAGGCCCCCCCTCATTAATATTCATGCACACGTGTAAATTTACACTAACGCACACTCATCAAAATCACTGATTAATAAGTCACACTGATTATTAAGCTGTAGGCAACGTAATTCTACTTCGTTCAGTTAAGCATCACAGGGCCAAACGTATCATCGCCATGTTAAATCCACTGCTGGATGAAGGACTGGCCAAGTCACTGCCATCCGGCAATGCAACATTCCATCTATCTCCTGCACGCGTGCTGATTTCATCACTCAATCTCCACAGTAGAGATCCTCTCGGATGTTTCCTCCATTGGATGTCAATTCCATCATGAGTCTCGACCACCGGGCCATCCCCCCCTCTTCTCTTGACACGTCTCCCCAAGCCCAATTATTTATCTTGACGGCGAATAATTTTTCTCTAACTTGCGTAAGATCTCTAAATTCTCGTATTCCTTCTCTTCCTGTCTCTCAGTGTAAGTCGAATCATACACCTCTCCATGCTTCCTTGTGCACTTTTAAGTTTGTATTCCATATCCTTTGCCATTGTCCATGTTTGTGATCCATGTCACTCAGTATAACCCATATATAATGGAAATGCTGCACTCTGAGGCAAACACCCTGATGATGGGAGCTTCCAATGTGTATGTGATGCACTGCCAACAGTCCGGGCACAGCGTGGCGCTAGCATATGAAACATCACAAATCAAAGCATGCCAGAGGAATATAACACTCGTGCCATGGAGACAATCTCTGGCTTTGATTTAATAAAACTAAGAGAACGCACGCCGCACAGCTGCGCTCACTGTAGTCTGCTCTGGAAACAGGCTTTGTGAGATCAGACCAGAGCCAATCGTTCTTACCAGTGTAGAAGGTGGAGGGGGATCCCTCCAGGTCAAAGATATCCTTGGTCTGGGAGTCGAAGCGCAGCCACAAGGCGATCCCCAACACCGCGCCTCCGGCCAGCTGTCCGTGACATCACAAGCACGGAAACGATGAGTGGCATATCCCAAAGCAGTACGAGCAAACTTTTAAAAAAGCAAGAATATTTTATTTAAAATTAATAAAAGTCAAATAAAATAAAAAAATCACGACGTTTCGAAACGTCGTGATTTTTATTTTATTTTACTTTTATTAATCTTAATTTTAATTTTTTACCTACGTGACTTTACCGAAAAAACCTAAGAACATGAATCCTTGCAGTCACGAAAGCTTCAAATCTAGAATTAATGTTTTATTTTTTAGCCGCATGTGATTTGTGAAGCCATTAAGACAATTGTAAACTACGCTTAAAGCCAGCTTTTAAATTCTGAAAAAAAATATTATTCACGGCTAAAGCTTGTATTTGTATACGGACCCTAACTCTAACCCCAATGCTCAATCCTAGCCCCTGTGTAAACTATAAGCCCTAACCTAAGCCATAACCCATAACTTTTAACCCCACAACCCACTCTAAAGGAGCAAAATGCCTTGTTATTGCATCAACTGAAATCCAAGGAGAATCTGTGACTGGATGAAAATCTGCTCTCGAATTTCATAAAAGTCTGCAGGGACAGAAGAGCCAGGGGACACGTGTGTTTCCCAGCACCTGCAGTAACTCACAGTTTCCACATTAGAAGATGCAGGGCATCGCCGATAGAAGCCACTAAAGATTTACTGCACATTTGAGTGGGATTACAGTTATGACCAATAGAATCCCAGTGCTCCACTTGCAATGAGGGTTGTGAATAATGGGCTGCATCGATTGACAATGTGCTGAGCTACTTTCGTTTTTTTTTTTAGTGACAAGAATTATGACAATTCACTACTGTAATAAAAGTGTCAATCAGTCGACAATGTAGAATGACGATCAATTCCAAAATATGCGTGCACAACTTAAAGCTTTCGTGACTGCAGGAATTCATATTCTTTGGGTCTTTCGGGAAAGTCACGTAGATAGCTTCAAATAAAATAACAAAAAATAACTAGTTGTAGTTTTTTGGCATGTTTTGTTATTTTCTTAGAACCTATCAACCTGATTCAAAGAATATGCGTGCACTACTCTTTGTAAGATTTGTATGACATTCCTTTTGTGTTTGGTAAAAAAACAACGGCCAGGGTGCATCTCTGCGATTGCTTGCTCACGCCACCGCTGTGCAAGAAGGCCCTCCATGAAAGGGAGCTCAGAAGTTTATTATCCATGTAAATGATCCATTGAGCTATGCAGATATTTTTTTCAAGGGTGAGCTCTTGCAACGGCTGGCCAAAGGGCTGGGAATATTTGGGAGTCCCCACACTTGCTGATCAACTGATCGTGCCATACCCATTTATAATGAGTGTACAGAGATCTGGAGGGGGGGGGGGGGAGAGATTTGAGATATTATTTCAACTACTGCGCCCGCAAAAGATGGAATCAACCCATTGCACCACAGCACCAACCGCCTGTGTTGATGTGTTTATTGTTTAAGCAAAATGACACAGAGATTGGCAAATAAGACTTAAAACATCAAGAACCACTCAATGCAATCGCCTACTGTCCGCTCTTGCACTCAGCTAATAGTAAGGGGGTAAGTGTGGCACGCAAATAACTCGGACATAAGGCTCCCAGAGAGGCCGTTTTAATTAAATTAAGAGGGCAAACATGGCGTATGAGAAAAAAAACGTTGGGATTTCAATGGCATTGATGGTAAGAGACCACTGACATAAATGCATTACAGACACTCTCAGTCTCGGAGGCTGCTTCCGCGATGATCATTGACACGGGTCAAACGCCTCTCCCAACTGTTAGTGGAATAAAGTGACTCTCCTGAAACAGACACGGGCCACTTTGGAGCATTGCACGGGTGAATCGTACATATATGCACGCGTGCAGTTGGGTGTGTGTGAGGAGGTTGCGTATTGTGGCTGTGTGCTTCTGAAACCATTTGGAAATGACCATTTCCAAAAGACCGCCTCTCTAGATGGGCTCTTTTTGAGAGCTCCTTCCTGTTGGAGGCCCTTCCACCAGCAGGTACCGTGAGCAAGCCAATGCAGGGATGTGCCTCTACCTCCACAAACCGCCCTGGGGGGGGGGGGACCACCTTGGAGCATCACAGCGGTTATGAGCACACGTGCAGCAGACGCCGATGGCGTGCCAATTGGTGTGGCTGCGTAGGTCTGGCAGCATTGGAGCATTTTCATGGAGCAAAAGAAATGTCCAAGAGGCGTTGTATAATTAGGCGTCAAAACTTCTAGTCTGGGCTTGCACAAGCTGTAATGGATTTTAGACGTATTTATACTTTGTTATGCATTCCTAAGAGCATACGAGTTGGCTACAAGTCGGGTTAAGCACTCAATTAGCCCCTAAGAACGCTGCACATTGTTATCCATCACCCAGTCCTCAACAGTGTATTTATACTGTGCAACGGCATAGAAAGGGCACTTGTGAATTCTCAAAACGAACGCCGTTACAAACCCATGTTTGAAGAGACAAGGGTGTACAAGAATTTTTTTTTTTACACAAAACGTGGAGCAATTACCAGCAAATGTTTTCCCAGTGCCTTTGTGGGAGCCATGGCCACGGCCGATTGAGTAAACTGGGAGAGGGGCCCATGGTGTTTATTAGACTTTCGCAAATTGATTTCTCTAATAGGGGGAAAAGTTGAACTTATTCTACCGAGGTGGATAATTTTGCTGAACAAAAAAAACTGATAGTGCTGTGTGTAGTTTTTGTGTCCAATTAATTCGTCAAAAAATATACAAATTTTATTTTAATTATCAATCGACCCGAACATTACCAAAGTCCAAGTGGATATTTTGTTTTATTTTCTATTAGTATTGATTACGTAACTATTCTCGATCTTATATAAGCAGACTTACCATCACATTATAATACAAGTACCAACACCCCCGTGGATGTAATGGTTATGGATCGATACCCATTACATACTCTATACACCCAGTATTAAAAACTACAATGCAATTCTAATGCAAAGACGTGTTGTACGTCGCCAAGCCGTGGGTAATTTAATGCAATTGTCGTCTTTTACTGCAGCCATACACTGCATGGGCTTTCGTCAGGTCAGCAAGAAAAGCCACAGATCATTAAACAAACAAAAAACATCAGCCCAGTGCACGTCTGAAGATTTTGAAAAAATAAATTAGTGCTACATACTACAAATGGTCACTCTGCGTTAAACAAGCGCCGTTAAAATCTCTGCGGTCCCACGCCCTAAATTCCTAACGGGATCTTACCAATTACTTATAGACCTTAAACACACAATACTACGTACGGATTCTTTTTTTTTGCACTTCTTCAAACATAGCCATTGCGTCTATTCAAACGTGTCCTATGCATATAATTTAAATATTAAATATTCCACAACAGTCTCCTTCCATACGTGTACATTCATTATGCAGGCACACACGCAGTGACAAAAAAAAACACACGCGCGCCTGGTAGCGGTGATTAAAACAAACACCAGGCTAAAGAACCAGCGTGGTGAAGTATGATCAAGTAACCCACACGGCGTGGAGAGGCTCTCATCCAGCAGTGGATTGACACATTTGCAGCCGTGAGAACTGCCGTGATGATGTTGGCGGCCAAGTAATTCATTCCACCACTGCTGCTGCTGTTTACGTGACGTGTGCAAGCACACAATGTATGCCAATGCAAAGAGAGACACACACACAAACACGCATCCCACGTCTAAGTCAGCATTACAGGTCTCGATTCATAATAATCAGCAGCGGGCGTGATTAAATCCACTGCTGGATGGATGCCTCCCACGGAAGAGCAATGCAGCTCAAAAAAACCCGCAAAAATAAACGAAACTCACCCAAAAAACGAAGTTAAACACAAAGAGGAGGTATTTGACGCATTTCATACAGCCTTTGACGCCCATTGTTGATGCTGCTGCTGCTGCCGCTGCTGAGCCTCGTGAGACGTGCCGAGAATGAAATGTCGAGCCGTGGAGAGAAGGGGAGAGAGACGCGGAGGAGGAGGATGAGGAGGAGGGTGCGGGAGATATGGTGAGAGAGACACACACACAGAGTGCTTCTACTGGCGACGAGAAGATGGCGCTGTTATTTCTCTGTGCCCTGACTCGTTCGCTCTCTCTCCCCAGTTGAGCGGGGGCTTTTTTTTTTAACAACCACCACCACCCTTCCTCCTCCTCCTCCTACCCACTCGTTCCAACATCATCGTCGTCGGCGTCGTAGCAGCGAGAGCAGGCGCCCTCCTGTGACGCCCAAGTCGAATTGCAGGTGCAGAGCGAGGCTGGGAATTCAACAACGTGGTGGTTGGTTAATTTTAATGTTTTACCGACGTGACTTTACCGAAAAAAACCTAATAATTTGAATCCTTGCAGTCACGAAAGCTTCAAATCTAGAAGTTGGTGAGAGTGTTGTGCCACAGATGGCTTGCAAGATTGATAATACTGGTAGGAACCCACTGGTTCCACCAGCCCACAGGGGATTATTGTGTCCGTCCGTCCGTCGTGCAGGGAGGGACTGGGTGGGGAGGGAGAGGCTGTGTGGGGAGGGGAGGGTGGGTAGGGGCTGGGTGGGGAGGGGCTGGGTGGGGAGGGGAGGGTGGGGAGGGGCTGGGTGGGGAAAAGCTGGGTGGGGAGGGACTGGGTGGGGAGGGTGGGGCAGGGTGGGGCTGGGTGGGGGGTGGAAGGGATGGGGCTGGGTGGGGAGGGGCTGGTCACCCCGTGGTGCCCTTATAAAATTCAACGTTTAACCTACTCACGCCGGCTTGTGCCCGCCCTCACAGTCGGCCATATTTGCGGAATACCCCACGCCGCCGGTGACCTGCAACAGCGCAGGAAGGTGCTCATCCATCGGTGGACTGGCAATTGGCTGTTTATTATAATTGCAGTATTAGTAAAAATTTAAATGTGAGAAAGCCCCATCGTGTGTTGTTGCATGTCAACAATCACGACATTCGAATTCCTGCACGAACTACATTTCCCCACGGTTACATTGCAACGCCAATTAATGACGTATATCCATCCACCAGGGGATTGACGATAAAGGCTGTACGTGTACATGTGGCTGGCTTTTTTTCACACACATCACACACATGGGGTCACCCAGTGTGCTTGCTGTTATCCTATGGCGTGACATCTGTTGCAATAATCGTACCCAATCATGGTCGATCTCTCACGGTTCTGCAAATCCATCCAAGCGCCGGCACACATTTGCCGATTTCTTGACTCCATCTCCTTTGACGTGTTCATCCCAATCCAAAAGGTGCATTGAAAAATGTTGATACTCCGACTGATGCTCCTGCTGTTGTGGAGTGATTCATGCAGCCAGCTATGGCTTCAGGGTTTGGTGGTACATGTTGTTTATGTTGTTTATTGTGAAAATTCGGTCACAGTTCCTATGATCACTGTTACATTGCTTTTATGGCTTTATTTCGGTGATTTCGAAAAAAAATTGGTTTGGCCATGTTTGTTTGTTGTAGTACGGAGTTAGACTGATGGCCTTAATTTAAGTTGTCTTGTGGTTGTTGTTGTTGTTTGACTTGCATCCCACTGGGATTTTTGCACACAGCGTTGGTGTGCTGTGCTTTTTCTGCAATATTTTGCTGTCTTTTCTTGGATGTTCTGTTTGCACATAGTCACTTGTTTTTTGTTTGTTGCGGTTGCACCCGATTCAAGAGCCGAATGGCTCACAGGGCTATACCAAATAAATGAAACTGAATCCCATTTGCATCAGCAGCTTTACTAGCTCGAGGCAAACTTGCGCGCCTTGCACACCCGCCACTCCCTCCTGGTGGCCAAAGTTACAAGTTGGGCCCCCTTGACAACTACCTCGAGATATGTTTTCAACAACAGTGAAAAAGAACAACAATTTCGATTTTAAACGTCCGTGACTGCAGGGATTCATATTCTTGGATCTTTCGGTAAAGTCACGTAGAAGGAAAATAAAAAAATTTAAAAATTTAAAAACATTAAAATTCTCACGACGTTTCGGCCACAACACAAGCAGCCGTCATCAGGTGAATAACAGAGCTGTCGGGACATTAGGATGCTGTCTTTCCGACAGCTCTGTTCTTCACATGAGGACGGCTGCTTGTGTTGTGGCCGAAACGTCGTGAGAATTTTATTATGTTTTATATTTGTATTATTTTATTATTTCCCTTCTACGTGACTTTACCGAAAGATCCAAGAATAAGAACAACAATTATTTTGCAAAGACGGAGCGCCCCTACAGCGTTAAATGTTCGGGATCGTGAGCGTAACGATGTGATTAGGCAAAAGGAGGCACGAATTATAATAGCCCTAGGTGCGACCGTGCGAGACAAATCTAACATTGGGGCCCCATCTGATCGATTGCCGTACCCCCTGAGCTGATAAGGTAGTTAGGCCACTATTTGCACGTACTGTATGTATATATTTATACTGTGACAACTATAGCACATATACGTGAACGAGAAACAAGGTAATCTAGCTCGATTAGGCACATGCAGACACGTGGACCAGAGTTTTGAGATGCGTTTTTTGTTATATTTAAAAGTTATGTTTATATGAACTCACCCACTTCCCGTCTCTTATAAAGTTTTTATTTAAACGGAAAATACCGCTTAAACGATAACAGGAAGCGATTACATTTAACAAAACCAAATAGGTCATACTAATAAGAATTATCATGACTCCCACACCATGGGAGGTCGTGAGGTTTGCTTGACGGTACTTCACCACGCTGGTCAGTGCGGGTTAAAGGTGGGGATAAAACGATGTTGGGGATTAGTTCAGTACATTGCAATGGGTTTTTCTGCACTGCCATCTGCTGATAACCTAGCATTACAGCAGCCTACAGCACCTGGTTTTTTTGGCACGGCAGCAGTGACGGACTGGGACAACAAAATCTACCCAGGCATTTATAAACACACCGGCCCGAATTCGTGTTATGGGCAATTATATATTTTGTTAATGGGTTGTGCGACAAACGGTGCACTGGTAGCTCGATTTTCGATGTGACGACGTATTCGCGTGATTTTGCGTTGCGGATCGTATTCGCCCATTTGTGCTGGTCCAAAAAAACACAAATGGGCCGGTGAGAAATTATCTTTGGGGCTGCCGAATATGGAGGCTTAATGCCAGTTGAGAGCGTAGATAAGCAATGAAGCGTGCACATTGAAGGCAATAATGTTTCCTCTGATCACATTTGCAATTTCCCCACACAGACTGGCCTTCGGCATGGACCGGCCCACCGGAATGCCCTATGGTATGCACGCCCGGATTACCCTATGGTTGTTCCGGGCCAGTCCGAGCCTGCATTGGGGTCACACATCCAAGCACTATCCAGGCTCAAAACTGCTTAATTTCCGGGATCTGACATGGTCGGGCACTTTCAGGTTATTTAGTGATAAGTTGGCTATGCTTAAACCCAGGGGAGAGAAAAATATTCAAATACGTGCAATAGCAACATTGAATTTGGTGGGTTTAAAATTTGGACAGTTAGCGTTTCGATCTAGAATGTCTCGTTCTCAACACTGATAAACGTCACACCAACAATTAAGTAATGTACCTTTCATGCAGAGTGGCATTCAAGCCGATGGTAAGCAGGGAAATCGGCTGATGGGTGAAGGTCTTCCCACGTTTGTTCGATCATCGTGACTGTTTGACCACAATTTTGTCACGCTGATTAGTGCGCTTTGGGGCCTGTTTGGCCATACTTTATCAGGCTCAGTTGCGCTTGTTAGCCATGGCCATGAATTAAACCCAAGTCACTGGGCACAGAGTACAATGCACGAACCACTGCGTCACAGTTTCATCCCACCATTAACCATTGAAAAATGAAATATTCACTTTTCGTTTTTTTAAATATTTAATGTATTATGTAATGCTTTATACGATTTCCTCAAATCAACTAAACGATGTGGGTTTTGTCAAACATGACAAAGCAGAATGTCCTGAAGACTTCAGACTCCGTTAAGGATTTCCGCCAAATAAAATTAAGAAACCCATTAAGAATTGGCTGGGAATCAAATCCAGGCAAGTTTCCTACAACAGTGACCACACGAGATATCATTAAACAAACGCTGCATGAATGCAAACACTGCAACCGTTGATTCATCGCTTCTATGTCGCTACCTTGAAACCCAAAGCTAGTTTTCATGTTTCGGCCAATCGATTGAAATGTTATTCGAGTGTATGTTTGTTTTGTTATGGCCCAACATATTAACGGAGAGTACGGTATTAAATGCATTGAATGATCAGAGTAAATACAAGTGTCAAAGCAAAGGAAAACGGCAGAAGAAATGTCAGCGAGATTAAATCAGTTCACATGCTACTACTGGACAATACTAAGGACATTAAGATGTGAAAATGAGGGAGGCCTTTGTCCAGCAGTGAGACGTTATTCTGATGTTAATAACAAGGTTTTGCTCGACATGTATTGGATATCATTCTATATATCTACAAAATATACGTAACTGGAAAAGTAAACAGTAATTAGGTTAACATAGCAGTGAATGTTGTGATAGCATTAGCACTAGGGGATGTGGTAGTGTTGATCGCCACATAACCACATTTGTGCGCCCTGGTCTGAACAGATGCCAGCAAACAGCACGTGTATGAATGAGAAACATGATATTTAACGGTTTAACACAACAGCTGTTGCTTAAACGGTTCCTGTTTTGGGGCAGAGATTATATCTAGACTTGTACAATCCAGTGTTGAAAACAAACCTACCAAATGCCCATTATGACATCTCTTGCCATTTTAAAATCCTTTATATTAAGTTCACTTGCTTGCGCGCTTTGGACCGTGCAAATCTTTTGGTCGTTTTTTAACCCACTTCCAGTGATCCAATCGAGCTGACATTTTCCACACAGACTCGTTGTGCCAGACAATTATTGTTCGTGAAAAAAAATTCCCAAAATTGTACACTTTTTAGGCAAGAAAATTTTATTTTACATATATTTAAATAGAACTCATTCATCGCTTTGGCTGAACGTTAGAGTGTAAGAGCCCAGAGCGTAACTACTCCACAGGCCGTGGTGGAGTAGCGCAGTTGGTAGCGCCCTCGCTTCCCATGCCAAAGGTCGCGGGATCGATCCCCGTGTCCTCCACAGGCGAATATATTTTTAAATCCTTTATATTAAGTTCGCTGCCACGCATATAAAGGATTTATAGTGAAAAACTTTGTTTTTACGGGTTATACTTATTAGGAATTATTTTTAATATTTAATTACCAATTGCTTAAAGGTGCCAGGCAATCATCTGACCCATAGGTGGCAGCCATCTCAAGCCAGAGGACGAGAGGACTCTAGCCGCCACGCATATAAAGGATTTATAGTGAAAAACTTTTTTACGGGTTAATTTTTTAAAAGATCAAAATTAAGAAAAATCCTGCACATGCGTTGAAATGCTTTCCAAGAGGCGTTCGTCCTCTGAAGTATTAAGCCATTACGGAAACGTTTCCGCCAGGCACGCAGGACGTTTGGCCGTGATAAATGGGTTCAGGTAGCAGCTCTATGGAGGGACGTTGGGGTAGCCTTTCATTATATTCCGAGGTCCCAGCACAACACTGCTGAATCGGAATCGTTATCCTGGAGGAATCCGATGAACTATGAAGCTCTTTTTGACCAGTCTACCGAGATCCCAGGTTCAAAGTTGGCCTCGACTAAACCGGATGATCAGTAGTGTGCTCGATTTTCTGCCTAATAGCATTATTGGACTACAATTGGACAAGTGGCGAAAAAGATCGTAAAATGCTCAAGGCAATTCATAAATACAAGGTGCATGCTCATAAGACACCATACAAAAAAAGCTATGGGATGGTGGATGGGCTGCAGCTCTCCCAAAAAAGTAAAGTACAAGTTGAAGACGACAGGACAAAGGAAAAAAAGCTGAAAAATCCGGAAAGAAAATGCTAAAACCACAACCGGAAGTTTTTGCACTTTTTGTGAAGTACTCAACAATTAGTGGCCAAGCCTTGATAGTCACCAAGGTGTTGGTGTGTATACATTAAAGGATTTAACTAGAGTGAAACTAAACGAACAACAATAGATGGGACCTGGAATTCAATAAAATACAAATTAGGAACACCAGTTTATGTACCACCTAATGATTGCAAAGTTCTTTAGAATACAGGTTAAAAAAGTCTATCAATTAATACGAACATTTGGACTTTATAATGCCCAAATGGAATTTACCCTATAAACTGGATGCTCAAGGACAGAGGCAAAATATTACAAACGGAAAATATCTGCCAAGACCTGGTATGACAGCAGCTTTCTCTACTTAAACTATAGGTTTTATCGGGTCAGATTTTCAGTTGCAATCACACGAACATTCCAATGTTGGTAAAACTTGCACTTATATTTGAGTGCTGTACAAGAGCCATTGCACTGTTATTAAAAAAAAGCCGTATGAACCGTTTGCCCCAAATCAATTGGTTTTAACAATATTTTTAAATTTACAAGATATTTGAGTGCTGTACAAGAGCCATTGCACTGTTATAAGTGCCACACAGAGGAACCACAATTTTCTTCAGTTTATTAAAGCTGTAGCACTCCGCAGAACAGCAACGAACAGTTTCATTTATATATCAGCATCTACCAACTATAATTTAAAATACAGGAGCACATTTTTGCGTGAGCTTTTATTGAAAACACTAATCCAGAAAATGAAAAAAATCAAATACACCACCAACAAGCAGTTATCATTGCATACTGACAAAACAAAGTAAAAACAAAACCTAGCCAATTGGAACATGTACATTTCCTTATGAAGTCATTTTAAAAAGACATCTAACTTACCTGTACCTCTATGTAGTGGAGTAAAACAATATGCATTACTCTTGAACATAACAAGCACTTCAGAATTATTGGCACACTCATGACATTAAGGTATAACCATCACAAATGTGAACATTGTTTGGAATCTCACTTGCTATATTGCTCTCGACGATGTCATTCTAGTAATTTTCGGTCATGAACTTATCCACCTGCTGGTAGCCATCCTGCGATGGCTCAGTGGGTGGCTCAGACTGCATGGACTCATCATTTTGCTCCGCTTCCTGAGTACTACCACCTGTGGCTGCCTGACCATTCTCCTCTTTGGCATCCTTGCCCCGCTCGCGATCGCGATCACGCCTGTGCTCCCGGTCCCGATCCCTATCACGCCTACGCTCACGGTCGCCTCCACCTCTCTCGCGATCCCTCTCGCGGTCTCTCTCCTTGTCTTTGTCCTTGTGACCGCGCTTCCTGTCGCGATCGCGATCTCGCTCACGATCGCGACCCTTTTCGCCACGCTCTCGCTCTCTGTCTCGATCTTTGTCGCGATCGCGCTCCCTATCGCGCTCCCTGCCTCCCTCCTCACCCACGATCTCTGCCTTGCCTTCGGTGCCTTCTGCAAAATTCTCCTTGTTGTCCGCTCCCTCGTGCGGCAAGTCTCCGGCGTGCCCTTCCTCTACGCCCACCTCGCCCTCCGGTCTCTCCTCTCGCTTCCTGTCACGGCTGCGGCTGCGCCTCTTACGATCACGATCCTTGCTGCGCTCCTCCCGGCCCTCGCGAGCCCCGCCACTGCGGGACCTGCGTCGCCGCTCCCGATCTCTATCCCTATCCCGTTCGCCACCACGGTCGCGTGTAGCATCCCGTTCGCGGGGGGCGTCGCGCTCTCGCTCGCGTGGAGGGTCACGCTCTCGAGTGTTGCTCTTCTCGGGGCGTTCCCGCTCCCCGTCGCGCTCGCGAACACGTTCGTGGCTCCGCTCTCTTCGTTCTCGCTCTCCGCGATCTCGTTCCCTTGTGCTGTAACAAAAAATTCAGTTGAAAATATGTACGGCTGTTATGATATAGCATGTACACATTTCTTCGACGATTACGTTATAAATGAATAATCGAGGTTTTGAACTCTTTTTAAATATATCAAGCTCGAATACATATACAAATCAATTTCCCAGGAAAGTGTACTCTAGAGAAACTTAAATTTTTTGAAAAACCCTGTTCTACATAGGGTCCTGTCCAGCCGAAATTGGGTTGCTGTACGTGAAGTGTCCCCCCCCCCCCGCCCTGCAATTGGCGTATTGTATCAGGCTCATATTGAGTTGCAATAAAAACGTTTAGAAATATATTTTTAGGTAAGCAAAAATGGTGCATTTACCCTTCTTCACTGTGGCGCATATCATCACGACCAGAGTGCTTAATATTGACATCAGAGCCTCCTCTGCGGGTGCCACCAAGCCCTCCACCTGAAGACACAATATCATCGGATCAAAATCACAACACTAACGTTGACATGTCACTTAAACTAAATAAAAAATCGGATTTTAATCCCATTTGTGGATCCATTTTTTTCCAGATTAAATTTAAACATTTTTGTTTTACATTAAGTTGCAGGTGTCATTCTTAATTATCATCAACACCCCCCCCCCCCCCCAAGTTAAAGCTGATGACTGGAGTCAACATGTCACATTCCAAAATGCACTTGCTGACTAGCATCTTCACAGAAGTGCAATATGGAACATGACATGTCAACCCAAAAATGGCCACCATTATACGAAAAATTGGGCTGTTTTGCAGCAGCACTTTTTCTCTCACGGTTCTTTAGCACCCCATTGTGAACTGCTTTGTTTAGTGTGAAATTACAAGTTTAGCGCACACACACAATCGACTTACCAAGTCTACGGGGGCGCCATCCCTTCACAGTGCGAGCTCTCTCAACATCGACCAGAACTCGTTTTCCATCGATCTTCTTGCCGTCAGCATGTTTGTACGCAGCTAAAACAAAACCATTGCCCACAAATGAGGGCATTGCAACAAATGAGCAAAAAGAACAAATGTTAACATATAATTTATATATTTTGTAATAAATCGTTGTGTTCTGACGACAGGTCTTCATGAAATTCCAGACGACGACTGCAAGAACAAAATTAAGCAGCATGTACACGTAACGTTTAAAAACAATGTTCGGCTTCGTTCTGTAGAAAAAAGTTACGTTAGGTGCACAGAATTGCTCACATTGAGACCACACTCATGCCACATAGCCACGTAACAATGGTGGCTTCACTCACAGCACAACCACCGCAACACAAGGACAGAGTTTCCCACACTACTCTGTTGCTGGCCGAAAAGCAATTGGGCTAAGTTTAGCAACACTTCACGTGCCAAGAAGGGGAACAAATCTCTTATTTTGCAATTGTTGCATTAAGAGATTACGTTTTTTTTAGTTTCAGTTTGCAGTGGGGAAACACTGGAAACAGACTTCCATCCACTCCGTTAGCCTAAAAACAAAATAAATGAAAGCACATTAAATACAGGAAGGCTAAACGAAGTCGATTTACCTTCGTTTACTTACAACAAACAGAGAGCCTGCAGATCCGCTATCTTGCCGAGTTCAATTTCGGGCCTTTCAACAATCTTCGGGACACGTCGAAGTTTGCCGCCACGTTCTATACCTACCCGACCTTACCTGAAAGTTTTGTGTTTTCAGTGTCTAGTGTTTCTAAGTAGTGTTTTTTTGCCACGTTCACTTTATAAAGTGTATTTAATTTGCCAATGCTTGTACAATATATTAAGTGTTATTTATTGCAACGTGGGGATTATGAGTGCGGGTAAAAAAAAAAACTCGTGAGCCAACATGTGCGTGTTCAATTGTCATGTTTGAGGAAGTTTGTATGGACCAATGTATATTGAATGTTACAAGTGTGAGCTGTGAAGCTATGTGTTATACTATGTGCGAGAGAGTTGTGTATTATCAAGTATTGCAAACTATACTCTATGGCTGAAGACCTTATTTCACAGCATCCATAATGCATGAAACCAACCTAAATGTTGACTAACAATCCTAAATATGGCTATTTCAAATATTACGTTAACTTTTAAACAAAAACACTAACAAATTAAATCAACCCTTAGCCAAACTCACGGGTCTGCAATGTTAAACTCTCGTAAGAAAACCTTTCCCAAACATTAAGGCATACAGACGTCCCAGCCCAAACTATCCAGCCAGACTATGCAAAAGATAAATATCCAGTTTTAGTTTTAACCTACTTTATACCCAAAACACTTCCATTCACAGGAAAACCATCAGCTTCATATCCTACAGTTAAGCTTTCCAACGCTATAAACTTAGTAGAGACAAAAGTTATAGCTAAAGTAAAAAAGAGACTCCACACCCAAGGCATTAAGACACTTTTCCAACGTCTATGTTAGATCAATGATGGGTTACAAAAATGAGCCAATTGGTTGGTAAAGCGCCAATCTACACCTGCCTTTTTTAACCTTTGTGGTGGAGACAGGTCTTACCATCATACAAACCCATATACCAACCACACAACGAGATGTTAGGGGCAGCACTAGCATCAGCTGCAAGCCAGCAGTGACCATTGCCATCACAATGGTGGCTGCAGTGACAACAGAAATAACAGAAAATTAATATCTAGGTCAGGAGCCAAACATATATTTCACTAAGCATACATGAATTGGCAGATCATTACTTTTATTTTACAAGGTCTAACTACAATTACTTTATCACAAGACAATGGCATCTGATCGTACCCCACAGGGTGCGATCGCCTCAATAACTTACCTGCGTAGAACAAGGAAACCTGCAAATAAAACAATCTGGTGGCTAGAAAATTCTACGATTGTTAAAACTGCATACTATCGTCTCAGCATATGCGAGTCATCATAATACACACATGCAAAATGGTATTGTAAATGTGCTCGATGCATCTCAACACAGGCTTCTTTGCATGCGGTACTTACAGTGCATGTCCCGCTCATGTTCATACTCAATGAAGGCATACCCTCGAGGCTTTCCAGACACCTTGTTGTAAATCATGGTGATCTGTATGGAAGACACACCTGATTAGTTCACGTTTGGTTTCTATAAAAAGTAAACCATCATTCTTGAAGGTGGTAAAAATGTAACGATGGCTAAAATTAATCTTCTTGGTTCTTTCGGTAAAGTCACGTAGAAGGGAAATAATAAAATAAAAAACGTAATAAAATATTATTTCCCTTCTACGTGTCTTTACCGAAAGAACCAAGAAGATGAATCCCTGCAGTCACGAAAGCTTTAAATCGAAGGCTAAAATTAACTTACCCTTCGGATGGGTCCATACACTTCAAACTCTCGCCGCAGCTTTGATTCTGAAGTGTCGTAGTTCTGCACATAGAAGACAATGTTTGTTACAATTCAGAACAATTAAGTGTTTAATTAAAATGTGCAACATCAAATACTATGAAAAGCAATGCATTGTTCATCGCTGCATCCACGTGTGAATGGTTAAGCATGACATTACAAGTTAAATGTTTTAATGTACTTACAATGCGTGCAACAAACAGGGTCTTGAACGCATCTCCCTGGACATTTGTGTCGGTGTGAGCATCCCCTGAAATGAAATAAAAGCAATAGTTAATTTAAAATTGAACAGTTCTTTGGCATACATTTATGGAACTCGTTTAATCTGCACCCGTATTATTATCTGCACGGAACCTGTCTGCAAAAACTCCTATTATCCGTGGGTGAATTTATAATCCACAGCCATTTTACAGAACAGTCATGACAATATAGTACCATTATCTGATGATCTTATCAAGCATTTTATCAACAGTATGTAAAATAGTCTGATGCTGCCGACTCCTGTTATTTGCAAAAAAATTGGAGATCCAACACCCACTAGTGGCAGAAAACTATTCCTCCTGTGCATGGCACACAAAATAATTCAGCCTGGTGGAAAATTCCTAATTCCCACATCCATTGGTTGCTGGCTTGGATTTGATGACAACACATTGATGGTGAGGGAGTTGATGTAAGAGGACGGCCCGATTACACCACTAATATATTCTGTTGCTGAGCGGTGTCCTATGGAGGCGCTAGAACACAATATTCTGCAGCAGTCTGCGCTCTCTATGTCAGGCTGTTCATTAGTACATGGGACGATGAATATCTTAGTCAGAAAGGCCACCACACGTAGGGGGAGCACCATCAGTCCAAGCAAGATAGATCGTGGTGTCCAAAGCTCATGACAGATAGACAATGAAAAATCTATTCAGTAGTGCATAGACAATGAAGATAGTGGTGCTGATCAATATGAATTGCAATACAGTTCCTAAAAATATATTTCTTCATTAGTTTATTGATATGCTTTCTATGTCAGCATTGTCTAATGCAAGGTAAGGTACAATAACGGTTCAAATTGCCATTCCGCACGATACCTGGCGTTTTACTCTGCCTGGTTTTAGGCACACACGTATGATGTTAAGGTAGACTGCGCTAAACTCCTGATATCCGTGGACAGTCTGCGAATGAATGCTTGGCCCTTGTTACCTGTCATGATTCCTGTTACCTGTGGCCATCATCAACTGGAATTAGTGGAAAATCTATCTCATTATCTGTATTTGTCCTCATCGGTCGAGACTATTGATATTCGCAGATAACAAGATCCATGAACAGCACCCCCCAGATCAACGTGAATAAAGGCTCTACAGGTATGTGGCCATTCAATGGTCAAATCAGTAATTGATCCATAAGTTATAATTAATGATGCCAGTTATTGAAGATGGTGATAAACATTGACTTTTATGTTGAAAAACTCATGAGAAAATTAGATCACTCACATAATTTCAGCTCTTCCTCAATTTCCTGTGCCCGCTTTTCAATTTTCTCACGTCTCTAAATAATACAAACAACACGTACATTCATGTTAAATGCATATTAGATACTACCATGACAAGAAACAATGTAAAATACATGACTCAGATACTTTAGCAATAATAAATACAAGTAAGGTAATACCAAATTGAAATAAAATTAGTGCAGTTTTATCCGTAATTATATATATCACGACACGGACAGCAACAAATATAAAGTACGTGCCTTCCTCTCCATTCGCTCTTCTTTCGTCTCGGCTCTGGTTGGGGGTGGTGCATCTTTTGGATCCTGCACAGAATGGATGAAACACATCTTTTAGTTTAGTTTGCTCACACGCGCAAAGCTCGCAGGATTGCAAAAACGAACCGAATACACTTTATTTAGAGAAGTCGTTTGATACTCCTTTTAAGAGTTTGGTGCAATAAACATGGCTATGAAATCACTTTCAGAGCTACCTCAACCACACCAAATCCTTTTTCCTAATCATGATACATTGCCAATCCATGCCTAGATGGCGGCCTTCATACTCTCTCGCCATCCCTCAGTCCAGCTATGCCAAAATCCTTCTCGACCCTGTAAATGAATTAAGTACTCGATCTGCAAAATGGCTGTTTTCAAGGGCATATGCTCGTCTGCCATTCCTTCAGTCTTCTCGATCTGCCACAATCCACTAGTAATGTTTCCCGCCCAAATTAACTTTTTAAAATGTCGAATATGACATATCCCAATTGTGTTTGTTCCATGACCTGTGTTCCTCTTTAAAAAACATTCCAAGCGTTAATCAATTCACGTTCTACGTGCACTTCTCATTTTGTTGCATTTTGAGTGTCCATGAGTCCCACCTCACACCTGATAAAAATTTCCGACTACTTTCTAGTCAATACTCTTCTCCTTAAATGTAAAATCTACACCAATAGTAACGAGAAATGTTGCCATCACCCGCTGGACGGTAATATTTTGATCGTTCTCCATGCTACCATCAAAATGATTTTTTTTAAACAAATCTTTGGAGATAAGGGAGCCCATATTAACGATCCCCCGTTTTGAAAAAAGCACACTTTAACTGAATGCAATTTATTCAATGCAATCGCTTAACAAAAAATACCCTGGAGTCCATTATCTTGAACCACTAGCCATTTACCAGCGCTTTAAGGCTCAAGCAGCAAGAAGCCATGTCACTAATTATGAAGCTGTTTATCCAAAAGCCCTGCGCAGTTATGACTTTTATTTGAGGGTAATGAATCGATTTTTTTTCCAGACAAGCTTCACTTCGCCTTAAGACCAGGGCTTAATTTTTCATTGAATTTTCCAGCGCAGAGGCCCCAGGAATCAGACTCTCAGGAAGGTCCTGCATTAGCACATTGACATTATCATGAAGAGCTCTGCTGGGTCTCAAAACTCCTTAGGAGGGTACTGTATTGGGAGTTTTGGCCAATTCTTAATTAATGCCAGAAACATCACCATGTTTAAAGGGGACGTACACAACACCACTCCAAACACTACTGCACATCACGTGCAAAACAGGGTTAGGCATAGTTGGTATTTTGGGACTGCCTGTAAATACCAGGTGTTGTAGGTTTGGGCTGAAATGCACCCACGAGCTGGCAGTATAATGAATTATAAGATGAATCGGTGTGCAACTTTGAGTGCAACCCTCTGTGTGGATAAGTTTACTCCAGTTTCTTCCCATATGCGAGGCGCTAATTAATGGAATGACCAAATATTACCCCCTGAAAAAGCTTTTGCATTTAGAACTCATTTTGCACCGTACGTAGCCAACTGTACTAATTGCAGGTGCAAAAGTGAGTTGAGACCAAGTGAGGCTTCCCTGGGAACGAACCATTTTATTCCAATTCAGAACTATCTCCATAAAGGTATTTAAGTCCTATTGAGGTTTTCCTGAGTAATGGAATTATTTGATTGAACGAACTCACAACATCTTAAAAACGCGTATTTGGGCTGTCCTTGTCCAATGGCTCATCTCAATTCAGGCCCTTCTAGAGTCTTGACACGGGGGCTTTCGTGCTAAAAGCGCAATCACCAACTTGGTTAATGAAATACGTCAGCAACGTCTTGGCAAAACAATTCTGCACATGTACCCCCATGGCCGTGGCTGTAAACACACGATACATATAATATTAGGGAGCAACGTGATCGCCGTATGGCATATTTGTTGACAACCATCATAGCCTTTATTTATCCTGTTTTATCTACCCAATGCTACATGAAGACTTACAATCAGGCTTGTCGCCATCTGTAGACGGTCTTGCGATACAACAATCCATGAAGCAGTCGAAGGGTAATCATAATTCCAAACAGCAGCATTGTTGGCCGAAATAAGAATATCGCTGCTGCAATCCATTATGAATTATATTTGTAACTTTACTTTAGATCTGCCGTTTAAGATTTGGCAGAACATGTCTGTACAACACAGGACAACCCGATGCATTCGTGGAGTAACTGCGTAGTTCTGCACAAGGTTGATGTTTCGCTACCTCCACGTGCTGGGTTGGGGAGCTTCTTGACAAACTCCACTGCCGACTCTGCCATGCACGACTCTTTTTTTTTTAGGCGAAGCACAAATGGCTGTACATTGTTGTACCGAATTATACTGTTTGTGCTGTAATTAGTGGCCAACGTTTGGAGTGCGTCTTAACCTGCGGTAGGTGCGCACGCGAGAAACCAGCTTGTTTTTAAGAGCAAAGTTCCCCCCCCTCCCCGAGCACAAAGCCCAACCCATAACAAGCGGCCTACCACGACGGCCATCACAACGTAAATTGTAGCGTTGTGATGGCCATCACACGGGGCCACACGTTAGGAAAGTGCGTTTCACTTTCCGCACCGTCTCCACACCGCTTACAATCCGCAAAACACACGCGGCAAGCACGGCATCATCGCTGCTGGCCTAAGCTCGGCGAGAGCTACGTAGGGGTGGTGGGCCCTCAAAACTCCACGTGGGCCACAAACAACAATTTCCACCATGGCCTAGCCCATTGAATGAAATGGAGACGAAAAAAAAACCACGTGAGCTCGGGACTGACGACGAAATGAGCTCGCACGGCTATGCACGGTTTTCGTCGTAGAGTGTGTTTGTTTGTTTGGTTACCTCGAAGAGATGCACGTAGACCGCGATGCCCGAGTAGGGCTGCCTGTGCACCTTCTCGTGCGGGAGTTTGGCGAGCGGCGGCAGGAACGGCACCGGATCGCGGGGCGCGAAGAGCGCGAGCAGGTTCGGAGGGAGGTACTGCGTCATGGTTGCCCTCTCCAAGACGACGACGTTGTCGTTGTTGTTCTAGTTGTTAAACGATGTAGGGGGAAGGAAGGAAGAAATGGGGGTTTCTAAAGGAATATCGCGCAACGAGCCAAAGGCTTCGCCTTCACGAGCCACCGCCACTCCAAAATGGCCGTGCGGGCGGACGTGGTAGCGCGGATGGATACACCGGCGTTGTCTTGAGATTGTGTCCGAACGAGAAGCAAAAAGGTGAAATCGCGACACAGGCGTCGAGCGGGTATCGGTCGACGACGGCCGTGTTTGCGAATATGCCTCCCGTGAAGATATCGGTTCGTACGACGCGGAGAAGTCTACGGGACTACTTTTTCACCGCGCGCTGTTAACAGCCTCTTCACGCCCGGATCCGGAAGCGTGTTTATGCAAATTACTTAATTTAGGTTTCTTGGGTTTCTAAAGGGGCCTCATTGAGTCCCATTGTGCATTGTGATCATGATTACAGGTTATAATGTGTAATGTTTTGTTCTCCACTTCCAACTGTCCACTTTGAATCGCGCTATTGTTCATGTATCATGGGGGTGCATGGACAACATGCTGCCTATGATTAAGCGTTGATCATAGACCGTGATCTGATATATTTGAAATAATACAATGTTATGTACAATATTACTGAATTGTACCAACATCCTAAATTCATATTACAAAATTATCCACCGTTGATATTTTCAAATTTATAATTAGTGGCCATTGAGCCAGCAATTATGCACTCGGGAAATAAGTAGTGGACGTACACATTCATCCTTTGTTGGAATATGAAATGCACGTGTTCATTTTTTTCTTTTTGAATGCACACATTTAGAGTTGTTTTGATATGAACATATACGCTGAATCTTAAAATTGTGTTGGGAAAATAAGCACGTGTGAATATATTCCGCTGTTAAAATGTTTACCACGGATCCTGTTGCTTTATACCATTTAATATTGGGGTTTTTTGCAGTTCCTTGAACTCGCATTTATATTTTGCTTTCCTATTGGATGAACGTTGCGATCTATAAGGGCACGGGGTGACCAATGAGGTCTGCATTTATCTGTAATAAGGTCGGTTGTCATCACCTCCCCTGGCACCAACCCATGATCCAGATGGACGAGATGTTAACTACCTCGCCTGGTATGCAGGAGGTCGTAGGTTCGATCCCGACCCTGACGCCTGCTGTATATTTGGAGTTTGCATGCTCTCCACGTGATCGCGTGGATGTTTCTTGGAGTGCTCCGGAATATTTGGCTGATATACATTTGCACATGATAAGCCACTTTATTTGGCTATCATTGTTGGCCAGGTCGCCAACAATGATAGCCAAACAATTTGAAGCTATCGTGACTGCAGGAATCCATACTCTTTGGTTCTTTCGGTAAAGTCACGTAGATAGAAAATTAATAGATCACGACGTTTCGATCTACGTGACTTTACCGAAAGAACCAAAGAGTATATAGTTTGGTTTATAGTTTAAAGAATCCAACACCTGACCACTGACCGAACAGCATCGGTCCCTGGCTTCAATCTCCCTCCAACGCAGTGGACAGCACTCAACCGAATCCGCACAGGGCATACGGCCTCCCGCTTCACAAGTGGAAAATGAGGGATGCCTCTAAGTGCGACTGTGGCCATGAGTCCCAGAGCGTGGACGATATCGCATCAACCTGCCCACGAAGATCTATTGCGGGGGCCACTTCATTTATTTATCCTCATCGCATCTCAGGAAAACCATTGAGTGGATCGCCAAACTATGATTTTTTTTTATTTGTTATGTCTGTACATTGGTTTAAAGTGTATTCATATTTGTTGCATATGGTGGGTGTACCAGCCATGAATAAATCCAACTATCCTTTGTATTAGAACATTTGTGACAATGATAACACTGATAAAAAAAAAGTTGGAAACTGTCATTAATTATTCAATTTTGAGTGCACGTGTTTCTGATAACAATATCCTGACTAGCACGCCCACCACCGGTTTTGTCTCTTGTATTGATCTATTGCAAGTCTTTGTATTTATGATAGTAATTTACAGCCCTTTGTCAATGCATTGCTGATTATATTTATGACTGATCATAAAAAATGTGTTGGAAATGTAGTTACTGCCATTATCTGCATTTTAGATTTACGCTTCATGCGCTTATCCTTGTTTAAACCCTCGTCTCTTGAAAAACACGCCTGTGGTCTCAACGGGCCTTCACCCGGTTATAAATAAAGGAAACGAATGTACGTGTAATTATATCATCAACAGCCATTGGCCAACGAAATGTTTTCTGTGCAAATGGAATATGACACCACAGTAAATCCAAAGGGCTTTCACTCTTCTCAATGTAAAATTATGGTCGCGTGAATTGCAAGCGAGTCGCAAATTCACTCCCACCACCTACTCTCGCATTTTGCGTCTTGACTACGTTCAAGCTCTAGTAAAATGTTATATTCTTTGTACTGTACTGTGTTCTCTAATTGTAAATGTTGTGGATGTATATTCTTGGGTCTTTCGGTAAAGTCACCAAGATGGTTTCAAAAAAACGACCGCTTGCGTTGAGATCGAAACGTCGTAGTTTTCTGTTATTTTTGATTATTTTCTTTTAACCATTTCTAAGTGACTTTACCGAAAGACCCAAGAATATGAATTCCTGCAGTCACGAAAGCTTTAAGTTGTGGATGTACTCACCAACACACCGGTGTGCTGTACTAGTAATAATTTGCCACGTTCTGTTTACGTGAAAAACCTTACTGATTCTCCGTGTCGGGTGGTGGCGGGTTTAACGACACATTTATATTTACGCGATCTAACAAAAACCAACACCTATTATGGATATTGGTCGCGAAAGCCTACAACGTGTTAAATTGTAATGTGTCGTTAGCATTGTCTCGTTTGTACTGTCTCGTTTAAACTTTTTGTAATGCCTGCATAGTTCGGTACTTCATGTATCTCGTTTGTTCTGTCTCGTTATGCCTGTCTTGTTTATACTATGTCATCTTTGCATCTAGTTTATCCTGCCCAAACTATTATTTGTTTGCTGTCTATTGTTTATACTCTTTGGTTCTTTCGGTAAAGTCACGTAGGTGAAAATAATAATAAAATAATAATAAAATTTAAAATAAAAAGTGAAAACTAAATTAAAACACGACGTTTCGGGCGCAACACAAGCGTCCTTCATCAGGTGAGAACCACCACAGTGAAAACAGTTGCTGAGGCATGCTGAAGAGATGGCTTTGACAAGGGTTTTCATAGGTGAGAAGGGTGGGGGGGGCAGGGTGATTGTGGGGGTGAGGCGTGGGCTGGAGAGGCTCATCCTCAGGATGGACGTAATGCTCCTGGGCATACTCCTCCTGTACATCGGATGGGGGGGGGGGAGGACAAATTTGCACGATTAAAATACTGCACGTCAAATGTCCTAGTGATGGTAGCGTGCAAGGCAAAGTGTGTCTATTGTTTGCGTTATCTTTGGTCTTCTCAAGACTGCCTTATTTATTGTCTATACTTTCTCGTTATAATTATCCCAAATGAGAAAATAAACAACGCTTGAAGTGCGCATGGAACCAGCATAATTGAGTCTTACACACACAATTCGATTAATATAAATTGAAATAATAATGCATTTTAACCGCTTGCAACAGTAATCTCTGCATGCCAGCGGCGCTGTACACACATTCAGCACGAGAGGGCGACAATTACTGTGGGACATTCTTGCACTGCGCGATCGCTCACAGGAAACCCCTCCTACATCCCTCGAGAATAATTATCATCAGCCAAGGTCAACCCACGGCTGGATGAAGACGACCCCGAGCCAACGCTATCTCTCACGATCCAGCCGTGTAATAATCCACCCGGCACCTTCAAGCGATCTGATTTCATCGCTTCATCTCCACAATTGCAAAGCTAACCCACGCGCAACATGTATTGATTGGCTGCCACTCCATCATAATTTCTTGACCACCTGGCACCATCATACCTGACAACCTCTTATCAGTGCCTAACCTTATTACAGGCCAATTCAGACCGTATTGGTCACCCCATGCTCTTATACATCTCAAAGTTCATCCTATAAAGTCCCATCAGAAACGGACCTGGTAACTCAATTTCCCTGTGCAAGAATACGGGCAAACCCGTATGGGTTGACAGGTATGCATCATGACATCTCGCCACGTGCCACGCTTTAAACACACTTTTTTTTGTAAACAGTTCGAATGTAATTAACCCGCGAATGTTCTAGAATCTATGCGTTCTATTTCTGTACCTCGTTTCCAAGCATGCACATATGAGCCGTGGACACAAGGTGGCGCAACTTCCATTGGGGTTCTGCTAAGGAAGCGACGAGCTACAATGCTACCATCGTTATTCATATACAAGACGGGCGTACAACTCCCAAAACTACCAGTAAGTAGCCTTTTGGTGAGATGTTTGCATGGGTGTTCCGAATAAATATGGGCACGTCGTAAGTGGTTGTGGTAAAGTATGGGTAGTCCCACCTCTTTCAAGTTGTATGACCAGTGTGGAAGAGTAGGCCAATATGCCCTATAGAGAGGCTCTCTCGGGCCCCCTCTAGTGGAGATCCCTTCAGCTCGACGTGGCTTGAGAAAACAATCGCCTATTGTAGTGAACTCACAATGGTTCCATTTCATTGGCAATCTACCCTCAATGGTTTTGTATAATCTTCACATTTCATCCACTTAAGTTATTAACTTTTAATCAGATCCTACTTTATGGACGAGGTTTTTTTTTTACGTTAATCAAGTTTTCATTTGCAGAAGTTAACCCTTCAATTGTGGTTACAGTACGTGTGCCACGTGGTGAAATATACTATTTTCAGCGTTTGAAGTCTTTTTAGAGTTGTGCAACTGGTGCTCGACTGTTTACTTACAATAACTTATCTATGAACAAGCGTGTCTTTTTCTTATGATCGACGGATAGACAACATACATGCCTAAGCTTAAAGTTAATATGAACACAGCAGGTGCATAAAATTACAAGTAATTGAACGACCTCTTTATCATAGAAAAGATAAAAGACCTTCCCAGACTGAAGCCAATTCTCATGGTCTTACAATGCCAGAATTATTCCCGCTCCTGCTGATGAGCTGATCTCATCTCTGTGGTGACCATCATCTCAGTTGCGTTCTCACCTTTGGCTGCCATTCTGTCACCAGTCTTAGCCAAAGGCCATTCATCCCTCTCAGCAATTTCTCATACTCAAACCATCTTGCTTTTCTTAACATGATGTTCCAAATTTACATTTAGTTGTTGAGTCACGTGTTCCTTTTTCTGTCTCTGGGTGTAATTCAGAGCTGCATTTCTCCCAGCATCTGTATATGTTTTTGTTCCATCTTCTGTTCGTGTTAATGATTGGACCATTTTATACTTTCGTATGTTGCCTTTGATTATCAAATTGCACTTTTTTTCAAAAAGCACTCAAACATGTTCTTCCTCACCTCTTTATTTGATAACATTTTCTCTAGGTATACAAAAAGATAAATTATTTTCCAGGTCCCCTCAATTGTTTACATTCAGCGTGGGTGGAAAGTCCCTCCGCCCCTATCTTAAACTGATCATCTGGACCCATAGAGGTACAGTATAGGGACTTCCTGCCCACCCTATATATACACAAATAAAATACATTTACAACCAGGCGAGGAGTACACACATCGAGACAAAATACTATTTTAAAAGGAAGAGCTGCGGTTCAAATTAAGAAGGGGACAAACATATTTCAGTGCAGAAAAACAAACCAGAGAAATAAAAAAAAATTGAAATTGAGTTTTAAAAAATATATAACGCGTAATTGCAATCATTAAGTAAATACATCTTCCAGACATATTTCAAATCAGTTAATTCCAATGGTTCAATAATTTCACATGCTGTGTAATGTGCACATTACTTCGAGTGGTTTTTTTTTGTCATCATCAGCCTTGGTCAATCCACTTCTGGATGAAGACCTCTTCTGCGAGCCTCCGCCATCTCATCAATTAAAGAATATATTTTACCTGGAGTTGGAACACCTCGTTTGCAAGAGTGTCCAGTATGTCATACGATGCATACATAGAACGATCCTGCGATTTACTAAGTTTATATACTCAATAAAAAAAACCCAAAATGTGATATTACAGTGGAGTATTCAGCGTGTATTCCTTTCCATCCGTGTCCTATGCAACGACGTCCCTCCATCTCCCCAGGCACCACCCCACTCATCTCCCCTCCCCCGTCTCCCCGTACCCCCCCCCCCCCCCACACACATCCCCCCATACAACCATCCATCCGTGAGCTGTGTCAAGGGTTATATTCTGTGGCGAAGAGCGCCAGAGATGTAGCGAGCACTGGGACGCCTGCTAATAGAGACCCATCTGGTACATCGCCATCATCATCACCACCACCACCACCACTATCATCATCATTATCACCGCCACCACCACCACCATCATCTTTACTCACTGGTGTCGCATCTGTATACATTTGGTCTCTCTTTAGTCTGCTCTCAAGCTGTTATTTTTGGTCCCAATTTTGTCATGTGCATCAATTCTCAGCAAATCCCGAACGCAGTTTCGACTTAGGCGCTTATTTGCCGTGTACGCGGACACAGTGATATTGTTGCGTTTGCTTTTCCTGTTTATTGGCGGCGGCGGGGGGAGGGCATGTACGATAAGCGGCGCTTCGTGCGTTATGGTGAAGACAAGTCGGATGTTAGTCGGCGAGACGGAGTCGGCGACAGAACCGGTGAGTTTTAAGTGTCTGTAACACAAAACACGTGCTTTGTATCCAGGGATGCAATGCATTTGCGGACCCCCCGCTGTTTTCAAAATGTGATTCGCTTTAATCTCAGAAGGTGCTTGCGTGTTGTGGAAGTAACAGCTTCCATACCTTACAGAGCACAGTGTTAACATCTAATAAGTGCGTTGAAATGTTATAGAGGCTTTTAAATAGCATGTTGTGGGGATTTCCAACCCCCCTCGCCCCCCATTATTTATCCGGATTATTATAGTGGGGTGTCTGTAACTGGATCGCCCTTGGTACGCGCGGTGTGCACGACACACGCCTTTTATGACATTCACTGTAATATATAAATAAAGCATTCAAACAGGTTGCATGCGCTTTTTCATTTTTTGGGGGGGGGGGGGGGGAGGTGGCTGTTGACAAAACCGTGTCGATTTTTCTCGCTGTCTTAGTAGATTCGTTTTTATATATAACGTTTTTTTTAAAATAAAAAACACAACAGCATATCGCCTATAATCAAAGGAGCGCGCGAGACGACGCTGATTGAAAAGCTTTGTTTTTTGGTGCCAGTGATGACAAAATACATTCCGCATTCTATTGGCGAGGGTGAGCCCCACTCCATAGGACATCGTCTGTACACGCGTAATGTACATGGCTCTGTGTGTGTGTGTGCGTGTATGCAGTGCACGCACGTGCCGTTTTACCAACGATTGTAATCACATCGCTGTCCGTTAAGGCGTTTCACAAGTTGTCTGCCCAGTTAAGAAATACCAGTGCCCTTTAGTGGCCGGCTTTGACGCAAGACGGCGATCCACTTAAACTGTCAGGGGCAAGTGCTGTTTGCGAGCACCTAATGAAGGCCGGCACGGCACACGAGGGAGTGGGTGACCAGCGTTACACGCCCCACCGCCTTTGTCTCCCCAGTCGCGATGTTTACACACCGTACCAGATCCCCATTTGAGGCTGAGTCGACCTAGGGGACGCCTAGGACGGGTTCATGTAATCGTCACTGGTGTTTTCGGTCGTGAGCGGGATTCGAAATGGGGTAGCCAGGTTCGTAGGGTGGTGAGCTTATTAAACTACACTACCACGAGCCCCCCATTCCCTTGCTAAGCAGCAGCTGAGTGAACTAGCGTTACTGGTGCCCATCATCGTAGTAAAGCCTCACTGAGTTATCAGCCTCTTAATTAGGAGGATCCTACACTGAGACTATTATGCTTGTTTACCCAGGAAGGTCTCACTGAGCCTCATGACTTTCAGGAGGGTGCTGGCAAGTTTATGCACATCAGGGCAATTTTTTAAATCTGGACATTCTAATTAAGTAATCTGCTGGCATTTCAAATTTGGCAAACTTGGACCATAATGCCGGCACGCAGTAGCCTACTCAGCACCGTTGTGGCGAGATGTTAACTACCTCGCTTGGTATACAGGAGCCGAGGGTTCGATCCCGACCCTGACGCCTGTATATTTGGAGTTTGCATGTCTATCTTTACGTGTTTTCGTGGGTTTTTTTTTCTCCGGCCCCTCCGGTTTTTCCCTCCACGTTAGAATCAACATTCGTTTCTAGTATTTGGCTGCTGTAAATTTCCACGTGATAAGCTACTTCGTTGAGATATCATTTGGGATAACCAGGTCAATGGGCTTTACCTGGTGAAATATAATATAGTTTTAAGTTTTTATAGTTTTACTCTTGCGAATGACGTCACGGGACTCATAACGTCCACTGTGAAGCAGACGGCACATAGTACAGTATTGTATGGATGTAGCTTGAACTTTTGCATGTAGCCAACCGTGCGAATTGGAGTATTGGTGCAGTTAGTACACACTGCAGTATTAATCAGGGCGGCCGCTGGATTCGAACCGTGATCCTCTGCAACAATTGGTGAACACACTACCGCCAGGCCATGCATTTTCATTCACGAGACCGATGCGTGCGAGAAGTTGATACTCCAAGCTCTGCACAGATAGATTCAATAATCCATTGCTGTACTATCATCTACTGGCCACGGCACGGCCCAAGCCCAGAACGCCCAGTACCGAGTACTATACTGTATACTCAGGCAGTTTGCTACCAGAGTACTAACCAGGCCAACCTGCTTTAGCTTTTGATAATAACCATTGTTTATCATTAGTCTTTTGGGATTTGAAAAAAAAAATCACGTGATACGTTTTGCAATGACATGCTTGCATTACACGTGCAGTTGTCCACTTAAGAAGCAGCTAATCTGAATGTAAATTTATCTGGAGAACTCTCCCTAGACCAGGCCACCAAATTTAATGAATGAGGATTCATTTTGCAAGCCGAGTTCATGCAAACGAGGTCACAATCACGAGAATGGAAAAAGTATATAGGTTACATTTGACCCGATAATTCGGATAAATCGGCTCATCTGCCCTGGCGCTGCTTACCCGTTTATGATAGCAAGGGCAACAGTAATCATACAACGGAGGAGCATGTGCCATTGTCGAGGGGTGTGTGTCCTGGGTGGTGGAGGGCGATTGAATCTCATTCGTATATTGTCAAGACGCATGCTATTACAGTATTACCCTCCGATTGGCACGGTTGGCTACGTACGGTGTGAAAGATGTTCAGCATACATTGCATTACTATACATTGCATGTCAATGCAATGTAAAATCAACTGAAATTTACAAATTTGTAATCGCCTGCCCTCACTAATTTGTAATCGCCTGCCATTAAACATAAACGAATTGTGACATCGTCGTCAAAATTATGGAAATTCGACATCAACTGCCATTCAAATTCTGACAATGACATTACAACCCCAGCCAACACCATCGTTCAAAATCACCAGTACCTACTAAAATATTAACAACCACTCACTCTTACTTATACGAAACATACTATTTCATTTCTGCGCTGCCACTGATTTTCTACGTATTTTTTTAAATTCCACGTGGCTTTTTACCCGCTGTAATTTTTCGTTGAAATCTGCCGCCTGCCAGCCTGACCCCCGCACGGTTGTCCAAACGCCATGGACGACGCGGCGTTGCTTGAAGATGGCCCCGAGACGGCGGAGCCGCTGACGCACGAGTACTGCGAGAGGATCGTCATCAACGTGTCGGGACTGCGCTTCGAGACGCAGCTCAAGTCGCTCGACCAGTTCCCGGACACCCTCCTGGGCAACCCCAGCAAGAGGTCGCGCTACTTCGACCCCCTGCGCAACGAGTACTTCTTCGACAGGAACCGGCCGAGCTTCGACGCAATCCTCTACTACTACCAGTCCGGCGGGCGGCTGAGGCGCCCGGTCAACGTCTCCATCGACGTGTTCAGCGAGGAGATCAAGTTCTACGAGCTCGGCAACGAGGCCATGGCCAAGTTCCAGGAAGACGAGGGCTTCATCAAGGAGGAGGAGAAGCCGCTGCCGTCCGACGAGTTCCAGCGGCAGGTGTGGCTGCTGTTCGAATACCCCGAGAGCTCCAACCCGGCCAGGGGAATTGCCATCGTTTCCGTACTGGTCATTCTCATCTCCATCATCATATTCTGCCTCGAGACTCTGCCTGAATTCAGGGACGAGAAGGAACAGAAATTTCTCCCAGCAAAGGACATTAATGGCACGCAGGTAAAAATTATGCATGGCAGCTCTTTCACTGATCCATTTTTTATTGTGGAAACCATATGCATCATTTGGTTTTCCTTTGAACTGCTGGTGAGGTTTTTTGCGTGCCCCAGCAAACCGGGATTTTTCAAAAGCATCATGAACATCATTGACATCGTGGCCATCCTGCCCTACTTCATCACCCTTGGCACCGAGATGGCCAAGCACCAAGGGAGTGGCCAGCAGGCCATGTCACTGGCGATTTTGAGGGTGATCCGGCTGGTGCGAGTGTTCCGGATATTCAAGCTGTCCAGGCACTCCAAGGGCTTGCAGATTCTGGGCCAGACTTTGAAGGCGAGCATGAGAGAGCTGGGCCTGCTCATATTTTTCCTCTTCATCGGCGTCATCCTCTTCTCCAGCGCCGTCTACTTTGCCGAGGCCGACCACCAAAACTCGGAGTTCCGCAGCATCCCCGACGCCTTCTGGTGGGCCGTCGTAACCATGACGACGGTGGGATACGGTGACATGCGTCCCGTGACGGTGGGTGGCAAGATCGTGGGCTCGCTGTGCGCCATCGCCGGCGTGCTCACCATCGCCCTCCCCGTGCCTGTCATCGTCTCCAACTTCAACTACTTTTACCACCGCGAGACGGACAACGAAGAGCACGCGAACTACCTGCACGTCTCAAGCTGCTCGCACCAGGAGGAGAGCAGAAAGAGCAGGAGCCCGTCCATGAGCAGGTCCGAGTACATGGAGATGGACGACGGTCTGAGCAACGACGTTGACTTCAAGGTGAAGTTACCCCTCAAGCCCGACAACTGCGCGCCGCTCAACCACAACTGCATCAACAGAAACGTCGAGACCGATGTCTGACGCCCTGCCTACCGAGTCGCCACGAAATGCCTTTAGTTCATTTTTGCAACAGCAGCGGACCTTTTTCGCCGTTTTAGTTTTACAATACAATCTCGGAGACGCACTCGGCAACAACTGCTCCTCTTTTTTTGCGCTTTTGTTTTCGCCAAACTAACCCAACGGACCAAAACGGTGCGTTCATCAATATTCCGGAGGCCTGTCCACATCTTAATCGGCTGCGGTGAACCGGCAGCAGGGCACCGCCGCGTTTTAAACACGGCACGAAACGAAATCGCATTGGACTCCTGTTGTTGTGCTGCGTTGCTTTGCGATGAATGTGTACAAACTTCGCTTAACCTGTCACGCCACCTCCCCCCCCTGTCGCTACACTCTAACGGTCGAGTGGAAATTGGAGTCACGTGGTAAATAAATGTTTTCAAATCAAGTTTATGTCTGTGAACGTAAGTGTTTCCGTGTACATAGTTGTCAATGTGGCGTTATTTTGGAAGGAGGTTCGCAGCCAAAATTAATCCACCCACCCACCTTTTTTGCAGTGCACCATGCAACGACATGAGTGCAAACGCGAACATTCCTTCGTAGAGGTGGGATTGATAGCTGTGCACCTCCTGCCACAATGAAGCCGGGTTCATGGCTACAGATGGGTGATAAGTTTTAATGCAGATTTGGGATGAACTAAATGTTGGCTTTATAACAAAATGCAATAGCGTGTATAAAGTAATGTTAAGGTTATTAGTCCCCCACGTTTATCTGCTAGGGCATGAATGTGGAGGAAATATATTTCCAACTTGCAATGACGTGGCACTTTTGTTTGTGCGTGCCTGCACTGTGAAGGCAGACGTAATAGTAATTATTGCTCTGTATTATTTAATCGCACAATTTTATTACTTGAACATAACAATTTTTATTCAAATGTGTCAATTTCTAGATGGCACTGTCACTTACATGCACATCACATTGCCATACAGTTAATTGTTTACTGCTTTGATTTACATAAATCACAGCAGTAAACGTGCAATTAGGGATGGGTGCTTTGTCAAAATGATTGTATTAACCATTAAAATTGGAACTCGCATTTCATCAGCAATAAAAAAAAAAGATTGTATCAAATGTATAATTTAACGCTTCAAATTAAAGAGTAAATCGTGAACGCATTACTTAAGCAATTTTTCATAGGTATCAATGTGTAGTATAGTTTATCCTTCTTAGTATTATAAATTCAACTTTTTTCCGTTTATACCTGTAATTCATATAATAAGTCACCCACCCCTGATGTGCCTACATTTCTTAATTTCCGGCCAGTGCAGTGGTAAAACATAGTTGTAGTCTTCATCCATAACTTAAATACACCATAGATGCATTTAGGTCTGCCGTGAAAAAAAAAAATCTTGATCTCTTCTATTTTAGGGAGTGCTAAAATTCCAAGGAGCTGAATTTTTTTTTCTTTAAAAAATCCTAAATTTTATTTGACAAACTGCATGAAATACATTGCACCTGAGTGTGTGTGCGTGCGAGGATGTGTGTGTGTGTGCCCACGCGTGTGTGTGCCATCACAGCACCTGTGAGGCCTCGCTCTGTGGTGGTCATTATATATGTCCCTTTCATCTTATGTCCATCTTATCATCTTGTGGTTATCCACGCGTTGCTTCGTCTTATATTATTGTTTTTTTTATTTGGTTACCTTTGTTTAAACCCAGTTCACGTGTCCCTGAACCATTACCCTTGACTTCAGAGCCTTAACGAGCAATTTTCCAGGACTTGATGTATGTCACAGTGCGGTAATTTAGGTTGCCACAATCAATAAACCAGTAGGGAATAAATATATAAAACCAATCTGCAAAAGACAAAACGGTGAAAATTGTGACCTTTATTTGATAAAATGCAAATTTGGAAGCTAAGCTCATACAAGTGAAGAATTTCCACCTCTTGTAGGATTCCTAGGAATTCATGGCAACAACAAATACCATCGTTTTAAAATAGTCTCATCCAATGACGAAAGGTCATTCGGTGATGCACCTACACTACATTGTTTTATATCATCCACCTGAACGTATGTGGCTTGCAAGAATTAATATCACCAGCCCTCATAATGATGGATGCATTGTTCAACCTGTCTGAGGGGTTGACCACTTATTTCACCATAGCGAGAGCCCCCATCGGTGATTGAACCTAAATAAAAATTGGCATGAAGAGGCACAAACAAGATGTACTCACTCAACTTTGTAGATGATAACTCACCGGATATATCTTAACAGTGCGTGGGTGGCTTTGGGTGTCCACACAGAGATTGCTCGGTGATGTCTCCAATATGAAAAAAAGCCGGCTCGGCCACTCAGGGGAATTTTGACTTCAACAAATATTTGCAATTCTCACCACTATGTATGTTTTTTTGACGTGAGTTTCGAGTCTTACCCAAAGCTTATCCACAAGAGCGGCGGCAGCGGCATTGACGGCTTTGCTTGTCGCTCGACGGAGACCGCGACAATGTAATTAATGTCCGGCAGCACTACTAACAATCAGGAGAAATGGGCTTTGCGATGCCCTGCCAACTATTCATCATGCCTCAGAATGGAGTTTAAAATCATTTCATGCCTCGCTAAGCCCTGTTTTATTTCATTTTTTTTCTCGTGCAACAAAGACCCGCGGATGCATACGGAGAGAGAAAAAAACAGACGCGGGTTCGTGTTGCAGCGGGCAAATGCGATATTTCTGGGAGGTCTCATTTACCACGTTAATTTGAAATCCGTATTCAAAATGTGATTTTTTTTTCTTTTGTGGAAAATGTCCATTTAATATACACTGTACCGTATATTGTTGTTGAAGCATTGGTGATATGATATTTATTCATGAAGCATTGGGCTATGACTCTTATATAGATTTATTTTCTGAAATGTAAACAAAGGATTGGCACACTTCACTCGGGGATTCCGGCGACCTGAGCTCGATCCCCAGGCACAGTTGATGTTTTGTGGCAAGTGATATCTGAACGAGTCTTTCCCCGCCATCAGCAATCTGCACTGACCAGCGTGATGAAGTATGTATAAAACAAGCCTCATGACCAACACGGCGTGATGAGGCCTTCATCCAGAGGTGGATTGATAAATAGCGTGTAAGTAAACAAAGGATGCCCCATCCTAGCTCACGCTATTTACGTCACAGGGGCTCTTCCGGAGTGAAAGCCCCCCCCCACCCACCCCCCCCCAACTTGCACATGTTAAACGTGCGACATGGGACACGTTGCTAGGATGACAAATGGCGTGGCATTTATTGCACCGTTTTGAGGACCAAAGGTGAAGCTTTATCAAAACATCACAATGAGCAGTGCGAAGAGGGGAGGAGAGCTTACACCCAGTCGTTGTTTTTTTTTACAATATGAATTGGCTTTCAAAAGTCGGGAGAAAGCCTCGATTTGTTTTGTCTCCTTTGCGTGCGTTCAGCGAAAAAAAATCATTTCCGCCAATTAAAAATTCCCATCGTCAAAATCCATAGTTTAAGTTGAACATGCCTTACTGCGTGTGCGTGTGTGTGCTTTGTGTGTTAGGTTGATATTGATGTTCGATAGCAATGCATCAGAAATAAGCAAAAGGATACTGTACACATTTGCAATGGCCTTATAAAGATGTATGGGGAGTTTTGTGTCAAAGGATCTTTTTATTAATATCGTTGTTTTTTCGAGTAATTCCAGGCTGTCATTCAATGTGGCACCATTGTGTTTTGTGTAATAGATATGAGCTATACTGTTTTGAGGTCTTGGGTCAAGAGAAAGGGCGAATAATCATATCAAAATCGAGTTGAGAATTAATGTTTTGCAATTGTAACATGATTCTCAAAGTAAATGTTTTGCCAGCTCTGTCGATGTGTGTATGTGTATGAACGTAGTGATTCGTATGTTTCATTAAAACGAAAATTCATTCATGTCATTCTTTGTGGTGTTTTGAATTTTTCATACTGGCACGTTGCGCATACAACCGCATCCACAGACAGTCCCGTGGCGTGTGTGTGCATGTTGAACCTTTTTCGCACCGTACGTAGCCAACCGTGCTAATTGAAGGTTCCGGGAGGGGGGGGGGACAAAAAAAGAATCACAAAAAGCAGTTCTAAAAATAGATGAGTTTGCAATCTGCACACCCGAGTGCTCAATCGTTGTAGGGGTGGGTGGACAACATAAAACAAAACAATCCCCAATTAAGCGATGGGCACCGCTGCCTTTATTATCCCATATATACTGGGCGGGGAGGTGTGTGTGTGAGAGCTAGAACAGAAAGCGCGATATAGACAAATGCAAATGATTTCCTTACTCGTTCGGTTTAGCGTTTAGCACTTGGTGTTAAAACTTTGTTGTCATTGGCCTATTGTACCCCCCCCTCCACCCACTGAGTTTTTGAATGCCCCCCCTCCCCCGGCACTATCCCCTCCACCTTTAAACGGTAGCTGTCCGAAGAGCCTCGAGGAATGAGTAAAGGTTAATGCATGTGTCCTTCCTAACCCCCCCCGCCACCACCACCGCTTGACCCTACCAAACGCAGCGCCACTCTCTCCTCCCTCCAGCAGCGGTGAAGCTCCTGCACCACTGCAACTCTGCGTCAGGCGGGGTGAAATGTTGGCAATGTTTCTTCTCTCTTTGGGCTTTCGTTTCCCGAGCGCTGTGTTGATGATGATGGTGGTGGTGGCGTGACCTCAAAAATTGACGTCTTTGTTGATCGCGTCATTAAAATCATCGTGATGCTGCTAAATTTACTCCGCAGCTGCGTTGCTTCCCGTCTCGTCTGCTCCCCTCCCCTCTCCCTGCAAGCTCACGAATCCCTTCCACCCCCACACAGTCACCCCCTCCTCTAAAGCTGCCTCCCACAAACCCAACCCAACCTTGCCGGCCCACTCCACACACACACCCCGAGCGAATGACCTACTACCCCCTTCGAGTGTTCCCGTTCCAGAAAGGCATCCAGAAAAGGGCATGTGGAGCAATGGTCCGAAGGGAAGGAGGGGGGGTGGTGGTGAATGTCTGAAATGCTCCCTATCTCTCAATAGTGAAGAGACGCTCGCATTCTGGCGAGTTTTGTGTACAATTCTGAGACAATTTACGAGGACACTTCTGTGCCATTTGACTCGGAGAGGTCGGGGCTTCGTAGATTCCTACTTTTGTAATAACCGACTGTCGCAGGATGTAATTCAAAGCCTCTTTGCTGCAGATCTTCACCCTAGATGGTCATCATATTCGTCGTGAGTTACGACACGCTGGGTCGTTGGCAGTGTCCTGGGACCGATGTCAAGGTATGGGGTAGAAGGGTAAAATATGTGCGGTTTAGTGTGCGTAATTAATTGAGCTAATAAGCAAATGGTGACTTATGAAAGTTATTCCTTAAGTATGAAAAAAAAATCATACACAGAGAGCCTATTCATTTTAGTTTACTTTTCACAATGAATTTTAGTGACTCAGCTGGATAATGGTTCGGGTTTTTTGGGTGGAAAGTGAAAATGATATCATCATCAACATTGATGATCAATCAAAAGCAACGATCCATCCAACACCTGCACGTTAACTGATTTCATCACTCCATATCCGTGGTGGAGGTCCACTCGGTCGCATTCCATCCCTTGGCTGTTGCAGTCTGATAACAATCTCTTGTTATGATGATTAATGTCGTGACTATCGTAATTGCTAGATTAAAAAAATACCAAAATTACAGCGTGGATGTTGGTGTATGGCACTCATTTCTCTCAACGTACCCAGGACATCAATATCACTCTCAGCTCTCATACTTTAACGATTTCACTTGCGCACCTTCATTAACCCATGCACCGCTCAAAATCACGCCACGCATCGACCACAATGTCGCCTTGCCCTTAAATCCACTGCCAGGCGCTAACAACGTGTGACAACGTAATAACGACGATAGGAAAAGTAACGCAGCACGCGAAGAACGAACACTGCCCGGGGGGGAGGGAGGGGTGGGTGGGTGGGAGTGGTGGTGGTGGGGAGGGAGGCTGTTAAAAGGGGTAGTGCAGTGACAGGAGTGACCCAGAGCTCGTCTTGAGTCCAGGCCTAAATTTCGATTTAAAGCTTTCGTGACTGCAGGGATTCATCTTCTTGGTTCTTTCGGTAAAGTCACGTAGAAGGGAAGTAATAAAATAATAAAAATAAAACATAATTAAACAATTCTCACGACGTTTCGGCCACAACGCAAGCAGCCGTCCTCAGGTGAAAACCAGGTCTGTCGAGGCGACAGCGTCTGAATGAAACAGCACACGTGCTTGGAGCATATATATAAGCTGGGTTGGAAGGGGGGGGGGGAAGGGCGCCTTGACAAAAGAACCAAGAAGATGAGTCCAGGCCTCTCTGTGGAATCGTGTGGACGGCATCGCCCGCGGGCGGCTGGGGCCCGCAACCCTCGTGTGCGTCCCACCCCAACGCGTTCGTGGCAGGAGGACGGCTCAGCCGACCAACCCCACCCCTCATCTCCATGTGATCTGCGTCTTTGAGAATGTGCTATGAACATCGGCTCTCTATTCATAGGATAGAAGCAAACCCAGCCAGCCCGCGTCTGTCATCGTCGAAGCATCATCCCTGTTCCAGTCAAGCTGATGCCCTGCAGCAATGAGCCGCGCGCGCGTGTCCACTCCAACGCGTTCATGGCAGGAGGTCCGACTGAGCCTCCCCTTCCGTCCCTCCCTAATCTCCGTGTGCACTGCGTCTTTGAGAATAGTTTCAACATCTTGCTGTCTATTCATAGGATAGAGCCCCCCTCCGCGTTTGTCATCGTCGAAGCATTATTCTTGTTTCCCGTCACTGTGATGTCCTGCCGGAATGCGCTCGAGGCGCTGATTGTCTACTGCGTACAGCCCTGAGCTGGTGGTGGGAGTGTCACGTTACTATGGCGGGGGTGAGTATATCCAAAGTACAACCGCTGCTGACTTCCTTACAAAGTAGTTACCAATTTTATCGAGTGCAGAGTGATGATGGTCTAAGTCAACCCGACCCACAGGGGATTTGGACTCGCTCCTCGCAACCCTCCGATTGTGAGCCGCTCACTCTACCGCTGAGCTGCCTGGCCTCGCTGTTGTGAGGCCCAATTCAAATAAAATCAAAATGTGTCGAACACGAATGACTGCATGGCTCTGCGACAGTTGCCAACGGATTCCTCCTCCCATGACGATGACTACGACTACTCATACGAGCTTTGAAGACCGGTGTGCCAACATCTTTTAAAAAAAATTTATATTGCCTTGAGTAGATTGCTTTCTTTTTTTACTCGATAGCTAAATTGTCTCGCATATGATATATTCAAAGCGTCGGGCATTCGTGTACTTATCGTTTTATGTTAAGAGCTCTGAGACGCCCCGAGGGATGTGAAGTGTAATATGTAAATTAAGATTTATTTATTCATGACACGATAGCGGTCGCACGATCGAGATGAACCTGGAGAGAATGAAACAAATTAATGGCCACCAATACCTTTAGAATGGAAGTCATTGGAACAGGCTGCGAACCTTTAGAAGCCCTGAAGAAGACTGCACGTGCTTTGGGTGCCGCAAACCGACCGCGGAAACACGTTGAGAAAAACAAAAATCTCTGATGCCTGGCACCTTCTGTTTTCATTTACACTAGGCCACTGCTTGTGGTGGTAGTGCCCCCTTTGCCAAGAGGCAAATGGGTTTGCCACTTGTGAGGTCCTGAACAGTGAGAAACATCGTGGGCAATTGAATGTTTCACAATATCAGACGAGGGGAGAACTGCATGTAAAATTAACACGTAGGCTTTCACGACCAATATTATTATTAATAGAGGGGTTTTTGGGGGGTTAATCGCGTAAATATGTGTCGTTAAACCCGCCACCACAGACACAGACGATTAGTAAAGTTCATTTGCTGTGAGTAACAAAACAAATCATAAATATCCATCGTGATTTTATGAACAAATTAACCCCTCCCCTCTGGTCTCCCCAGCTGATTGGCTCACAAGTGACGACATCATATTTGTCCCTCTCTTTAAGACCGAAACAGGAGGAGAATTTCTCCACAACTCTGGCTCTCACCTGATGAGGCTGGTCGTAATTTTCATCGAAACGTCGTACTCGAATTGTAAATGTCGTGGTGTGTTGCAGAGCAAATCCACAACGTGTACAAATGTTGTGGTGTGTTGGAGAGTATATCCACAACATTTGTAACATTTGTAAACACACCGGTGTGCTGTAATAGTAATGAATTGGAACATTTTGTTTACGCGACAAACCTTTCTAATTGGCTGTGTCGGGTGGTGGTGGGTTTAACGACACATTTATATTTAGGCGATATAACCCGGAGCTCTTAATGTCACTGGGAATACTTCCCAGATATCCCAGGGACAGCAGCTTCTGCAAAAAAGGGACATCCTGAAAAAAACAGTAACAGGTGGCAGCACTATATGGGGAACATTTCTGAATTTGGTTCACCCTCATGCCTGAGCTGTGGTGCTATGCAGTAGGGCCTTTTAACGAAATGTCGACTCATATATATACACATCTATGTTAAGGCCTCACAATGCTAGCTATGAGTGATTGTGTTGGATGATTCATGAAGAGCACAGATTCGACTTGGATTTCGAGTGTGTAGGCGACTGCCACACACATACGGTTATTTGACCCATGCTTTGAAGAATTCTTGGGAAAAACAAGTGGACACTCACGGATGATGAATTTACGTGTGACATTTATCGGTTTAATTTGGGGAGCATGAAGCGTACATTTAACTTAAAAAGCTTGCACCATGAGAATTGCATATAACTAATTCTAAGAAACCACTATTATGGAAAGAACGGCTGAATTATGTATTTTAAAATATTTCATCATGTGAAAATGCAGTCCCATGTTTAATAAAACATACAATACGAGAACAAATTAAGTATTTGAAGAGATTAATAATTTAAAAAGCGTTCATATTTAAT